ATATATAGAGGAATATATATATAAATACATAAATAAATTGATAACACTGTCACTGTGTCAGGGATCAAGAAAGGTAAAAGAAGGAAGCTACGGAAGATCAATCTCGGAATCTTCCCTTAAATCTTATGAGGCCTGTCAGTGATGGATCTTGTCCCTCTGCTCGCTGGGACTGGGATTTCTGCCTTTTCCACCCTCGTCACCCTCCTGCTTCCGAGTCGTGCCGGTCTTTCCACCGTCAGCGAACCTCTTTTCTCTCTGCTACTTCGCCTCCTGCGAGCCACACCTTACTAGTGATTTTTTTTGCCTTCATTCTGTTCTGTTCCTCCTCGTCATCTGGCATAGATTGCCTCGTCTCTTTTGCCATTTACCAACACTCTCTGACTGAATCCAGGTCCTTCCCCTCGTCTCCCCGCATACTATCTTCTCCCGTGGACCCGTGCAATTGAGACCGTCACGACTCCCTCCCCACTTGAACGGTTCCCCACCACCTTTCCTTCCAGATGCATTGGACCACAGGGTTACCTTCTGATTATCATGTGGAATTATGCAACCATGTTTTCTCTGTCATGTGGAATTATTGCGCATGACAGAGATGTTGTTAAGTTAAACTGTTAGTGGTTAGTCCATAGAAAGTAACCCAGGGAGACTTGGTCCTCAGTTGGATGTTGTTAACTTGTTAGTCCATGTTGTTAACCATGTTTCCTCTGTCATGTGGAATTGCGCAACCATGTTTTCTCTGTCATGTGGAATTATTGCATTGGACCACAGGGAGACTTGGTCCTCAGTTGGATGGGGTGGGGTGTCTGGGGAGGGGAGTCGAGAAGAGGGCATCCATCCGAGAGAACAGAGGCCCTCGCCCAAAATTCCGTCGCCGCTCTACAGCGTATCAGGCAGTGTACCATATCTTCTGGCTCATTTTTTTTTCTGACCATACCGCACATACATCTGAACTGTAGGGGTCCTTTTTTTTTGGGGGGGGGGGGGGGGGGGGGGGGGGGGGGGGGAGTCATTCTTACTTCTTCGAATATGCAGCCACTGGTAAAGTAACCGGTAGAGCCACGAAGGAGATGAGCGGTCATTGGAGGCTGCTGATTTTGACCGGAGGGATTGACTTGAAGTTTTTCAAATGGCTCTACCTTCAATGAAGGGGTGTTTGTGGGATCTGACTAGTAGCGTCCTGACCTATTAACTTCTGCCATCAGATTCTGTTCTTGATCCGTGGGGAGTGAGGATCCTTTGTTTTGAAGACTCAATGAGGAGTGAAGTTGTATAAGCCCAGTTTGACTGTGTATTTGGTTCGTTTTGAGACTTCTGCTTCTGTATCTGTCTGGGGATGGATGGGTACATTCGTTTCGTTTTGAAGACTTCTGCTTCTGTCTCTGTCTCGGGATGGATGGGTACATTCGTTGCGTTTTGAGACTTCTTCTTCTTCTTCTTCTTCTTCTTCTTCTTCTTCGTCTTCTTCTTCGTTCGCTCTCTCTCCTCTCAAGTTCACCCAATGCCTTTCCTTCTGCAATTGGACCGCCTTGTGCCTTCTCGTGAATTTGTACTTGGAAATTGGCCAGGATCATAACAAAATCCGTTTTCCGGCATGAGCCCGAGCTGGGTAAAGGTCCCGGAAGGAGGGATTCCCGGCCTCCATTCGATTCTTTGGAATATAAATTACGCTAATTGAAGAAGAAGAAGAAAGAAAAAGAAAAAAAAAAAGAAGAAGAAAAGAAGAAAAAAAAAAAAACAATCGACTTGCTTGCGGACGCCCACAGGACCAGTGGACATGCAGACGTGCATGTTGGATATTATTAAAAATTTCTCAATATTTATTTAACAAAATTGGACCGTTTCTTTTTTTTGGGGGGAGCGAGGGCCAAGTCCCACTAGCAGCGTTGAGCTACCTCAACGCCTGAATCTGGACGCTTTGCGGAGATGTGCAGAAATGGTGTTGAGTTTCCTGAACTGCACGTCTCCACAAACACGTCCAGATTCAGGCGTTGAGGTAGCTCAACGCTGCTAGTGGAACTTGGCCCCGGGGGGGGGAACTGGACCGTTTCTG